TTGCAAAGATGCAAGAGAAAATAAAAAAGAATTGTAGATACTTTTTCAAGATATCACTAAAGCCTATGACACAATCAGTTTGGATATGCTAGTTAAAGCAATGGAAAGAATCAGAATACCAAAGAGTTTTATCAAGATCATGCTGAGCCTATTTCAAGATAGAGAATTTCAAGTCATTTTTGAAAATAATCTCACAGAATCCATAAAAACAGGGAATAGCATCGATTAAGAGGAAACCATCTCACCACTACTATAATGAATATTCTATGATTCTTTACTCTGTAAGATTCAGAATGACAAAGAAAAGTGATATAAAATATTGATTATCTGGAATCCAGATCTCAAAGAACAAATTATAAGAAGGCTAGAATCAAGATACGCGGCTATAGCCTTTATGAATAATATGATATGAATAGCAAGATTCAAAAAGAATATGGAAAAAATCCTCGAAATTATAAGAGTTTTCTACAAAGCTAATGATTTTCAAATCAATAGTAATAAATCAGGCCTAATTATTATTAACAATTCTAATTACTATCCAGAAGAAGTTCAGGTCAGTATAGAAAAAGAAGTGATAAAGGAGCTTAGCAGGGCAGAACATACAGGATTTTTAGGAATCTGAATCAGCAATCAAAAACTGTAGTTGAACTCAAAGAGAGAGTACTAAAAGAGATCAATATAGTGATTAGAGCTCTTTAAAGCAAGAAATTAACAGATAAATAAACCCTGTATATTCTAAACAGGGTATTAATTTCAAGGATAGAATTCAGGATGCAGCATAGTATACTACTTTAGAAAATATATAACACTCTAATGACAACATATAGAAGGCTCTTCAAAAACAAGAGTATTCTATATAGATCTATACCTAATAGTGTAATACATTTCCCAAAGATTCATAACCTGAAAAGCATCTGTATCCAGCGAGAAAATTAAATAATAGGATTATGTAATAGATTAAATGATCCTAGTTCCACAGGAATCATAACAATTATCTGACTAAAACAAGCACAGATAAAGAATTGAGAACCACTTAATCTATTAATATACAACTTCTTGAATTATCTATCAGATAAAGGAAACTTCATGCTCCAAGTAATGAAGATATAGAAATAACTTTTCACAGTTGGAAATAGTAAAAAATCTTCGAATGGAACAAGGGAAATAGTTTAATTAAGGAACACCTTATATTAGAAGAATATAGAAAAGCCATACTATCACTAAGAAACAATAAACTGCTATATATAGATCAACTAATCAATCAAGCTACAAAGAAATTAGGAATTGGCAAATGCTCCAACTACTTCAAAACACCAGTAAAGATTCCATTTTTAAATGATTTCAAGCTTTAATCAAAACTCTTTCAAATAATAGAGTAGGTCAACTCATAAGTATATAGAAAAGAAATTAAATAAAGTGGGAACTAGAATATATTGTAATTAATCTAGATCATGACAAACTACAAAAACTATAAATAATTAAAAGAAAGCTGGACATTACATAATTTGAGGAAAACTATAACAGACAAAGGTAAGACACAAAGTCAATGTCAAACACTTCAACTGCTGTAGTAATAATAATACTCAAATAACAATATTAACAAGGTGCCTAAAATATCCAAAGTATACAAGACAAGAAAGTGAATATATATTAAAGAAAGATATAAAAAATATATATGGAGTTTCATATCTTAATACAAGAAAATCAATCAGAAGAGCTCAAGAACTAACAATTATTTACTCCAAGGTATCACTAGAAGGAACAATGTAAAAGATTACTAACATAAATCTGAACCTCAAGCCTTAGCTCCAACCAATATAGTGAATCATGTAAATATCGAAAGATAGGAAAAGGTTATTATTAGAGACAATGTTATAAAAGGAGTATATCAGAATCACCTAATAAAAATACTTTAATGTAATCTATGATTTAATGTTAAAAAACTAATCTTCTACTCTAATGAATTACTCATTAATCATGGAAAGAAAGAAATGAAAATAGGAGCAACATGGATTTATATAGAAGATATGGGTAGAAAAAGTAGATTTCAGACAGGAGTAGACAATTGATCCTTCTTAACACATGCAGAACTTGTAGCAATTATTACAATACTTCTGATGGTTTTAGTGAATAATGATATGAAAATCCATATAGATAATTAAGTCTGTATCTCTAAGTAGAAAACAATAGAAAGAGAAGATCCAAAGTGAACTCACAAAAGATGGTTAAAGGAAAAAAACTGGTTTCTGTGAGCACGAATGTTAGAATTGGTAAAGAAAAAGATCATAAATCTATAACTTATCAAGGTTAAGACATATTTCAATGATCTTCACAACGAAAAAGCAGATGTTCTAGTTAAAGAAGCTCTGAAACTCCTAGCAATAAAATGGAAAGAGTTGATCTTATACAAGATCATTACAGAAATTAAATGGCAAGAAAAAATACTGAATGATCCAATAAGACAATTTGTCAAAAAAGTAAACAATAAAATAACTACCTTCTAGTGAACACAACAAAACAGAATAAAAAAAAGATAGAGTCATCAAATTATAAAACAACAAGATCATATTTGGGATCTTGTATGGAAAAGAATAAAAAAAGAATACACTTGATACACTTTCTTTAAACAATCACAGTAAAAAAACTTCCTCATAAAACTAATTAATAATAAGCTATCTACTTTGAACAAGCTGGCAACTAGAAGGTCTGACCTTTATAAACAAGTGAAGTTTATTGCATGCAGCTAGCAAAGTGAAACTTTTGAACATTTACTAGAGTATCCAGTATATAAAAAACAATTATAGAAACTATGGAATAAAGAATAAGATGGGATCCTTAGAGACTTCAGAGGGTTCTTACAAAAGCGGAAAAAGGAGGTAGAAAAAAAACATGCAAGGTTGATTATCCATGATGAAAAAGAAATGGCAAGTTGAATAAATAGATCTCTAAACTAGTAGAACAGACTTCAAAAATCAGTTAGGATACTTTAAGCTTTTGAATAAGGCTAGTAAAGAGAGATCTAATCTTAAAAATGGCAGATCTGAAATATCATGGAAAAAGAATTGGTATAAAACAAGAATATGGATGTCAAAGATACAAAGAAGAGTGTACAATCAAATAAGAAAAAAGATTTGAAACAAAAGATGTGAGAAGATAATCGAATGGGGATATTTACAGGAGATCTATAGAGTAGAAAAAATCAACTGACTCATAGGCACACATAACTTAAAACCATTAGTCCTCAAAAGTAAAGATTCCTTATCAGAGGAAGGAACTCTAGAAAATAAAAGTCTGAAAGAAATTCTACTCAAAGGTGTTACTTATGGAATGAAGTAGTTGGGTTTTAAGCTTAATTAGAACAACAGATAATGATCTGCAGATAATGATGTTAAGGATTGGAAGGGTATTTATCTGAACTATTAATAAAGCAATAAATTACTTCCGAAGTTGCACTTAGAGTTTTGGTATATTAAAACAAAACAACGATGAGTGAGTTAGGTAAAGTCTTGGTTTTAGCGAATCATTTGAATCATTTAAAATGTATAGTATACAAATATTTAATAAAACACATGTATTTAACCTGACCTAGGATTTAAAAAAAAAAAAAAAAAGAATAAAAATAAATAAATAAATTATTTGATTTCTATATAATTCTACTTTTTATTTCCAACTTAACTTCTAAAATATTCAACCTGATAAAATATAATTTATTTTTTTTAATATTTTTATTCTACTTTAAGTATTGAGAAGAATTATATGTTTCAATCTATAATCTAAATAGTATTATAACTTGCTATTGATAATCTACTAATTAAAATAAGATTAATTTCTTTTTTGATTATATTATAGAATATTTTATATTGAGAAATTTTTAAATTATTCGAGATAATTCCATTATCACTAATAAATAATGATAACGAAGCGTAAATAATTAATTGGTTAAAAAGAAGATAAATTTAAAACTTTTATAAATAAAATATGGCAATTATAGGTATATTCTATTTTTTTAAAGCTTGTGTAAGGGGATCAAACAATATAATAAAATAAGTATTTAGAAAGACTAGAGAAATCATTTCCCTATATATTTGTTCGACTTATGACAAAAATTTATTCTTATCATTCTTTTTATGCGCAACAACGATAATAAAAGAAATGCATATCAGTTAATCTGTCAATCTGGTGTTGCACAATGTACGATTCAATTAAAAGCTTTGACCAGAACTCTGGACATTTCTTTTTCAATTCATTACTGTTGGTATCTGAATTTTCAGTTCCATTATTTTCTTTCTGCAACCAATCTTTATTGTATTAGTGAACCGTATCGAGTTCATTCTTACACATCTACACCTTTTCAGCAATCTAAACTTGATCTTAACGATCCAAAAAAAACAATCCCATTTTTGAAATCCGATTCTTTGCCGTTGTACTCATATTGGTGAGTCATGCACATATCTTGTGGATCAGGGCAGTTATAACATACCTTTTTATTTAAGTATACTTTCCTACATTAGGCTATTTAATTCAAAGGAACATGTCTTCGGCTACGGTAAGAACGAAAGGAGGAAGGAAACAGGACGGAGGATATCAAACTTTTACAAATTCAAATCAAAGGTAACCCCTAATATGTTTGCGATCGCAAATAATGCAAATCGTAACTATGGTAAAGCGTCGTTTTTTTTTATTCATGATAGCCGAACCTCTAGAAAATGGAACAACGTACAGCATCCTGTCAACAACGCCTCGAGAAATCAAACAATCTCTCAAACTACCCAGCCATCTACTAATAATCATCACAATATTAACAATAACACATCCTCATCTGGAACGAATTCAATTAAACCTACTGAACTAGTTCATGACGAGGTCTCCGCGAATCACATAAACCATATGCACGACCGAATGTTATTTTTACTATCGAATTTTGTGGTGAGCATTGAACATAACAATATTTAACAAATGCGGTAAACGGGCGTAATATTTGGTTCTAACAAAATAAACTCATGATTATTAAGGGCATAAATGTAGTAGTAACAGTTAAGAATGGAGTAAAATATCAAGGTCTCTTTCATGCGGCTCATACGGAGGGCGAATTAGGCGTCATCTTAAAATTAGCACGAAAAGTGGTATCCAAACAAGAAGAAAAAAATACGCAAAACCGTGTAATACCTGTATTTATTTTACCACATAAAGAAGTAATGGAGATTCATGCATGCGGGGTGGATTTTTCGGCGTCTTTGGATAAACCACTTAATGAGCGTGAAGGTAGTCTTTAAGTCTAGATTGTTTTAGAATTGCTAAAGTTTTATATTATGTTTAATCATATTTATTTTACTTATTTAATTTAATTAATTTAATTATTGTTTTATTTGTTTTATTTTATTTGGTTATTTTATTTTATTTATTTCAATTTTTTTATGCAATTAATTAATTTAGGGTTCAGGACTGACGCTGATATCAGTGGTCGAACTGAGATTCGAGAGCGTGAACTTCATAAATGGGCTTCGGAAGAGTCGGGAGAGATTATGAAAGGTTTAGAAGATGATATAAATCCAGAATCTGGCGACGCAAGCTGGGATCAATTTGCTGCGAATGAGAAATTGTTTGGAATAAAGACTGATTTCAATGAAGAATTATATACAACAAAGTTGGACAGATCAAGGGCAGACTTTAAGGAGCGTGAAAGACAGGCTATAGCTATCGCTAATGAGATTACAAGGGTATATAACATTGTTTGAAATAATAATAATGACTTTAATGTATTGGAGAGAATAATCCTCAATTCAACTTTAATTTTATAAAAAGACATCTACAAATAACATTCATGTGCTCGAAGAACGTGGCTTCCTGGTAGAGGATAATCAATTGGATGAAGAAGAAAGGTTTTTTAAATCAAGATTTAATTTACAGTTCAATTTTTATTATTTCCATTAAGTATTTTAATACTCATTCTACGTCTTTTCTCTTTCATATGAAGGTACGGTGCGGTCATGAGAAACAGGGATCCGAGTAAATATATGCCTCCAGCACTGCGAAAAATACAAGAACAACAGCAATTGCAGCAACAAGGAACCGCTCCCGCTGCAAAAAAATCAGAGACAGCAAAAGAACCTACCAAGGAAATTAAATCTAAAACTACTGAAGAACCCCAAAATATAAAACCAATGCCTCCTTCGGCGGCTCCAGTTCCTTCACCTTCCTTGCCAAAAGCCAACCCATTCCCGCCTTTGCCGATGGTCCCCTTTAGGGTTGAAACTGATGCAACATCATTGAATCCTCACACTGCTAAGGTATTATTTCAGTGTGTAGCTTCTTTTTGAAAGTTTTAAGATCTATCATTAGGTAAATTCATCTGAAATGAATTTCAGAAACCGGATACTGATGTGGATGGCAGACCTATAGAAGGTATATTTTCTAACCGCTTTTTATATCAAACTCTTATGAAAATTTATAATGAGATATCTTAAAAGTTCTTTATATTGCTATGCAAAATTTTTAGCATTAATTGCGAAGTCATTCAGCAAATTCGTCAACCATGAAAAAGAACGCCTCCAACAAAGGAAACAAGCCATAGTCAAAAAGGATATGGATGGTAAAGTGGCCGAACTACTTAAATGGAGACAAAACTTTAAGGTAGCCGATTATGAAATTGCCTTAGAAATGTGTTCTATGTAAATTTCAATCCTCACCAAGTATTGCTTATGAATAAATTCTTCTACCTTAGCTGAATTCGCCAATTCCAGATGATCTTATTCCAATTCTAACAAAGGACGACGAAAAACGTCAACAGCTGGCTGCAAAATCAGCGGCGGCAATGTCTGAAAAAGAGAGCGAAAAAGACAAAGAAAAAATAAAAGATAAGGAAAAGGAGAAACAAGAGTCTGAAAAGGGAAAAGATAAGGAAGACGATAAACCAAAAAAAGAGAAACCCAACTCGGCTTCAAATGTGGATACAAAAACGGAAATTTCAAAACCAATAATTAAGATTGAAGAGGATAAACCGCAATCGAACGGAGAGTCGAAGTCCACTCCCGAAAAAGTTACATCAGACAAACCCATTTCCGCTGCTGATAAAGCACCACCACAACATCCTTCTTCCAGAAATCTCGTAACAACACCGACAAACACGCAATTCAAATTGAATGCAAAAGCGTCCGAATGGAAACCCAATCCTAATGCAGCAAGTTTCACTCCGGTAGGGCGTCGTGTATAATAAATTACTAAACCCTTATTTTTACCATTTTTCACTAGTATTTGGGAATTTGAATTTTCTATTATTCTAATTTCTTTAAAAATACTACAGACCCCAAATACTACTAGTGATAAAAGATCACCTAGCTCTGTAAGTATTTATTTATTCTCTTATTTTTCCAGTTTTCACAATCCTCATTCTTTTTTGCAAACGCAATATAGTCACCTTTCTTCGGCAATCGTCAGTTAAAGAAAAATTCTGCGTCGTTAAAAGATGGATTTAGTCCCTTTAAGAAAGGGAAATCTCCAGATAATCCTAATTCAATTAGTAAGTCAAATTATTTTAAATATTCTTACTTTAATTATTTCTTTAATAAAATAAATAATTTTTTTTTTCAATCTAAATGAAGCACCAACATGGCCTTTCGGTCAAAAGCCTTATAGGCACCATTTCACAGTCACTACTAATTTCGAAGAAGATCTTTATGCTCAAGCATCCGTGAATCAAGGATTCGGATTAGCGGCTTATCACGTTATGCCCTCCTATCGATTCACCGGAACCCAATTTGTCGGTGTTCCGCCTATGCCAATGCAACAGACAACTCCAATGCAATACGTGCCTGGCGTAAGTTCCAACCTTCTTTTATTTTAAAATTTAATTTAATTAACAATTTTTTTCATTCCTAAAGTTTGTACCTGGTGTGCCTTTCACCACAGCAGCACCCATGCCACCAAATGGAGCACCGCGTAATAAACATTTATTTATTTTTTTCTTGCGGTTCAGTGTTGTTATACGTGATTTAACATATATACCCAATAATAATAAACAGCTACAATATATAGCCCACAGATTCCACCAGTGATACCACGTAAGTCATTGATTTCTTTCGTTTCCTAAACGGAATTTCTCTTAAAATCACATGTATCTATTTTGTAGAACATTTTGGTTCCCAAGGATTCCCTTCACCTGGTCGTACACCGATGGTTCCCACCGGCATGCACCCTCAAATATATCCGCCATACCAAAATCCACACGGTCAGTTTCTCATTTTATCTTACTTTAGTTTATTCGTCCTTAAATCCTCAAAACATAGTCATAGACTTTTAATTGATAATCAACAGGGATACCACCCATGATACGATATGCGCCCGAAATGGTTCCTCACATGCCTCCGGGTGGTGTAATGATGGGTCAGCGACCGATGATGATAGAACAACATTATGAAACTGCTCCGATGGGTAATTTTTAATTTACTCTTATTCATAAGTAAGAAAATTATTACTGATCTATCTCCACTTGAAATTAGAAGTAATGCCAGTTCCAGATCAAACAACGACACAATAACTGATGGTTTATATTGAACATTGTTTTTCATCAACTTTGCAGATGTGATTTTTACAAGAACGGGATTCTTTATCAATTACGAACAATTTCCCTAGTCTCTTTTTTGGGTGGTGGGTTAGTATGACGTCTTTTGAGAAAAAATTAAGCCTGGGTGGGATTTGCTAAAGTATTACATTATAAAAAAAAAAAAAAATACGAATTGCAACTTGGGTGGGATCTTCAATGCTAGATGAAACTTTTATGAGGAAGCTTTGCGATGAAAAAAAATACGGATTGTACATGATTCATTAAGGGTCTCCCTACTAAAAGCATGCCATGTTGAGCTTTATCAGTGGAGAGTGTATATCTTTACAAGTATTGACTCAAGAATTTTTTCAAAAAAAATAGATAAATATTTCACAATCTTTTAGAACATTACATGTAAATTGTGCATAAGAAAATTCATCATTAAAGATAAAAAAAACATTGATGTCGGTAGGATTATTAAAGTCCTTAAATATTATTGGTTTTTGTTTAACGATAATTTTGTATGGATTTATTTTGATATTAACGAGACCGACTTTAAGGTTGGTTTAATTCGAGTTTATCTTTTAGAATTAATAAATAATATTTTTTATCTTGTAACAAATTATTTTCTATATTATCTTCACTACGATCAATGAATAATTAAGAAAATATATATAAATTTACTATTTTACAGATTAATCTATTTTGAATGGTTTGTTAAAATAATAGAAAAAACTTTATTTTATAAGCTATTCATATTATAGTTATCTAAAGTTGAATTTATAACTAACTCACTTATCTTTATCTATCTAATTCGATATATAACACTAGTCGAAATTATATCATTTGGCAGTCAAATTATTGTTGAATTTGGTAAAATGTAATAATAAAAACATTGATAAATCATTTTCAATTGCTGTCACTAGGCATTAAAAATATTAACAAAAAATTGACAAAAAAAAATTTAGGCATACTGCAGCAAAAAAATTTGACAATATTATGACAAAAAAAAAATTTGCATATTGTGGTAAAAATTTTTTTTGTATAATGTACTATAAGTAAAAAAATTGATATTGTAACAAAAAATTTGACAAAAAAATTGATATTGCAGCAAAAAATTTGGCAAAAAAAATTGTATACAGAGACAAAGTTACATATTCAATATTAAAATTTGATAAATATTTAAGAAGTTTAATAAATTTTATAAAATTTATTAAAAAATTACAAAAAATTACAAAATCAATTAATTAAATTATTTATTATTTTTTTCTTCTTCTTTCACTTCTTTCTTTTCTTTTATTTATTTTTTTTTTTCTTTAAAGATTTTGACTTTACTCTTTTAAAACCAGCCTCAATTGATTTTATCTTGTTAAATGTTTTTTGAGATTTTTTGCTTTTTTCTTTTCACTTCTTAATTGCTTTTCAAATTTTACTCATTTATATACTTTTTTTAATTTGTTTCTCATTTTCTAAATATATTAATGATTTTTCATATTTGATAATTTTTTGTCTTTGGATTTAACTATCAATTTTTTATTCTTTCCTATTTCTTTTTCTTATTTATATTCTAAAAATTTTTTCAAACTATATGTTCAATTCAATAAACCTTCTAGTAATATTATATTATAGAAATATAATATCATTTATGAATTGACTGGAATACTTGAATTGATTTCAAATATTCATCCAAATATTTCGACAAATTCTTTAATTACAAGTAATTATAATTAATATTGTAATTATTTGACATAAAATATTTGTCAAAAAATACTTCTTCAGAATATTAACTATAATTATATATATTTATTCTTCTTTTAATGAAGTTTTCAAATCAGTTTCACTTTCTTCAAGTAAATAAACATTTGTTTTTTTAATTATATCTATTAATTTATTCAGATATTTAAAAACATTCTTAAATCTTTATTCAATAAGTGACTGTGTGCTTTTAATTCTTCATGTTCTTTTCTTAATTATTCATTAAAAATTAATACTTAAAGATAGTATAAATATAAAATATTATTATTCTTACTTCATTTAATCAGATATATATATATATAAATAATGATTTTTTACTTTCAATTTTCTAGTTTTTGCTTTTCAATATCTTTTTCTTTAATAGTGATGTAAAGTACCTAACTATTTATTTATTTGTTTTTATAAAAAATTAAAATGTGAAGCCATGAATTTTATTAATTTGGATATCAACTTTTGTAATATTTTTTTATTTACATTACTCAAAAAATTTTTATCTATTCTTAATTTATATTTATCAAAAATGGTTTTTATTAAGATCTTTATTTTTTATTTCATTTTTCTGATTTTAGCTTATCTTTAGTAACCAGTTTTACTGATTTTACCTTTTTACTACTTTTTCTAGATTGAATTCTTTGATGCTTTCCTAAACTAAAAAACTTTTAAATTCTTTTTTTTTTTTTTTTTTTTTTGCCCTCAGTCAGGCTAATTACATATGCTTTATTAAATATTTGTAAGCTGTATATATAACATAAGATGCTAAAGCTAATTCTTTAACTCACTCATTTTGATTGTTTTACCTTTCTAAGTACAACTTCAAAAATAATTTATCATACTGTTAAGAGCTCAGATAAATATCTTTTCAACTTCTAACATCATTGTCTACAGATCATTACTGCAGATCACTCTTTTGAGTTCTGACAGAGATTAAAATCCAACCATTTCATTCCATACTTTATCTCATCTCACATGACCTTTTGAGCATTGTATTTTCTAATTTTTCTTCCTTTAATAATACTTGATATAACTGATTTCCTGATACTTTGGCCCTGTTTCTTTGTTTCTGTAGATATGTCAGCCTTTTGATCTTGTCATCTCTGTTGATTTCCAATATCTGTTTCCACTTTATTACTTTTCACATTTGATATTTCAATTTTCTTTTTGAAGTGATTATGTATTTTCTTCTGCATCTTCATTATTCACTTTCTTGTTTCTTTACCGATTCTCTTTTCATAGCACTTCAAGCTTATTATTTCATTCATTAAATTTTTTTCAACCAGTCCCATGTAGAAACTAAGTATATCCCGACCAGTGTTTAAGATCCTTTTCACCAATTGAGCTATTTTCTTATCCATTTTTCCTCTTTTTATTCTATTATCAATTGCCAGACTTATTTCTTTTTTTTCTGACTTCTTTTTCCTATTTGCCAGGAGTTTGTTGAAACCTTGCATTACTATATATCTTCCATACCCTTCTGCCAGGTTTCTTGCCATTGAGTTTTATACGCTAAACATTCTAATAAATGTTCTATTATCTCTTCTTGCTGTTTACATATGAGATATTTTATTTGCTTATATAAGACTGGTCTTCTTGTGGCTAGCTTTGTTAATGTGGATAGCTCATCATTAATTATTTTAATAAGAAATCTTTTTCTTTGTAATCCTTTAAAGGGGATATTCTATGTGTACTTATTATTCATTTGTTTCCAAACTAGGTTTCATATGTATCTGTGCTGGTCTTGGATTTAATAACCCCACTTTTTATCTATTCTATTTTGAGTTATCTATTGATACATCATTATTTTGATATTAGTTTTTTTAACAAACTGCCTTATTTAAGTATTTAGCACTATATCTTGCTATTTGATTTTAATAATAATCTTAGGTGAGTCCAGATCTTGCCATTCTATTGTTGAGAACTTTAACATTTCATTGGCTAGAATATCTGTTTTCTCATTATATTAAATATTGAAGTATGCTTTAATCTTGATAAGATTTAAATCTAATTCTTTTTTCTTTACCAGGCTCAACATTCATGCCCACAAGAATCAATTTTGTTTCTTTAGTCATCTTTTGTGAGTTTTTTTGGGATCCACTTTTTTTATAGTTTTCCATTTAAAGATACAAACTTGACTATTAATGTGGATTTTGATCTTGCTATTAACTGATACTACTAGTAGTATAGTAACTATCATTACTAGTTCTGCTCTTGTGGATAAAGACCAATTAGCTACCCTTGCTTGAAACTTGCTTTTTCTTCTTGCTTCTTCAATTTGTATTCATGCTATACTCATCTTCATATTTTTATTTCCATAATCAACAAGAGATCTATTAGAGTAAAATGTCATTGTATTATTGCTATTTTTTTCCTTGTTACACCTGAGTATTTCAATCAGATGGGTTTGATATACACCTTCTTTAATATTTTCTTTAATAAGCTTCTTCTCACAGTTCTCGATCTCTACTTCTTCCAGTTGTCTTCTATCACATTGTATAGTTACTAAGTCTATATGAATTGTTCTACTTATTGATCTTTCTAGTATTAACTTGAAACAAGAGATTTCTAAAAGTTGAACTCTCCTTATAGATTTCCTAGTATTAAGATAAGAAACCATATATGTTTGTTCTATATTTGATTTTACTATATACCAGTTTTCAGTTCAGATTCCTTTTGGGCAGCCCTGGTATCACATTAGGTTTGATCCTAAGTTTTTCTTGGAGCTGTCACATTTGAAATAATCTATTTTAAAACATCTTTTATTGTTACCTAGAATCAACTTTTTCTAAACAAGTTGTTGCTGCTGATTATTGCTCTTGGTGATCATCCAAAGTTTTACCTTTTATCAAGGTTAAAATTGAGTACTGGATATTCTGGACTCCACTTTAACCAATTTTCTTTTCAAGTTCTTGTGAGTTGTCCTATCTTGTTTTCTCATATCTCCCTTATTATTGACAAGTATCATTCTAGAATATGTCCCTTACTTATCTTCTATAAGAGTTGAAGTATTCACTAGTCCAATACTGTACTTTTCTAG